ACATTTTTTTTTTTGGTACCAGGGGATCAAACTCAGGACCTTGCCTTGCCAGGCAGGTACAGCACCACTGAGCTACATCCCCAGCCCAAGCAATTATAACCTTACATAAAATCAATATGAATGATACAGAAACAAAAATATAAATTAAATGGCAAAAGAACAGGCATTTAAAAAAGCAGTAATCAAAAGAAATTTTATGGTAAGTACTACCTTTATTTAAAAAAGTTATACATGCTAGAAAAAAGCATAAATGATACATGTAAACAATTATTTACCAAATACTTTTTTTCCTTGAAAAAGGTGCAAATGATCTTTAAATGTAAACACAAAAGTTGCCATACATTTTTGTTGTAAGGGAGAAGAAGGTGAAGTTTATTCCTTTTGGTTGCAGTTAAAGTCTTAAAGGTTTTCCTGCAAAATACATTGAAAAGAACTGATCTATGAATATAATGAAAAAAAATTCACCACTGAATCGTTACCATTTATTTCCTTACAATTTAACCTTTCATCAGAAAGTGCAATTTGAGAGAATAACAGTGGCCTTACAGCGTGAAGATAATGATGCATAAAAGAACCTAGATACTGATAAAACGCCTCAGCTGGTCTTACATTCATCAACATGTGCTATTACATGAAGTGAGGGCTTTATTCTTTAGGAGGCTGTTATTGAAAGTCAGCCTCGGCTGCATGGGCAGGAGCACCAGGTGCAAACTGCATAACAGGACTGGCTCCTGGGGGAAGGATATTTCTCCCTTCTGCTCCTTGGTAGCAATAAAGAAACAGGAAGGAAAGTTGCTTCACTCAACATCTGAGCAAAAACTGTTGCAGAGGTGCACATGATTATATCAGGGCGGTTCTTGAGACAGTGAAGAAGATTCATATGCTGTTTTAACAGGCACTGAGCAGAGCTCTAGAACAAGCAGAAACTCCATGAGAATTTTTTTTTTTTTTTTTTTTTTTGGTACAGGGATCAAACTCAGGTCCTTGCACTTGCAAGGCAGGGAGTGGCACCACTGAACTAAATCCCTGGCCCCTGCCCCTCCATGAGAATGTTTAAAAAAAAAGATTTAAAATAGAGTGAAAACAAGTTTATTTAGAAGTAAACAAGTTATGAACTTCCACTGAAGAAAACTGTAGCATTAGAGTCCTGCTTTTACTGATTTGATATTCCTCTGCCTTCACTATTTAGTATGATGTATTTTTTGTTTCTTTTACATTTTCAAGTCTTCGGGTGTAGTGCGAGGATGATGAGTAGCAATACATTGTTCATACTTTTCTCATTAATCCAGGTAGTAGTAGAGTAGGATGGATTGAGTGTCTAGTAGAACTAACCAGATTATACATAGCCCTTCTGTCCTTATTAGTATGTTCAAAATTAAATCAACACCTTACAAACAAAGTAACTTGTTTGGATTTTTTTTTTTTTTTTTTTTTTTGAGACAGGGTCTTCCTATGTAGTCCAAGCTGGCTTCAAATCCCCTGTGTAGCTGAGGCTGGCCTTGAACTCTTGATACTCCTGCCTCAGCCCCTTGTGTACTGGGATTACCCAGCGATGCTTGGATTTTCTTTCTCTCTCTCTTTTTTTTTTTGTGTGGGAGAAAAGATTAGTAAAAACAAACAAACAAACCAAAACCCAAGCCAAAAAACCCCCAAACCAAAACATTATGATAAATTAAAAAAAATAAATAGTCTTCTGCACAAAGTTGAAAATTACTGTGCAAAGGTGGCATCTTGCAGGTGAAATAGTGTCATCAGACTTGTATTTCCTTATGTTGAGGCACCAGCAAAGAATAAAATTTCTTCTAATGTTTTCTCAAACTGCACGAAGCTTCAGAGTCAAAGCTCTCCCTAATACAGAGAAGCACATACAAGACTGTCTTCTACCTGTTCACCATATGTGGGATTCACAATGTGTCATTTTAATAACTCCTACACCACCTCCAAGTCGACGGTAATTCATCCCACCATATAACCTGCAAAGACAGAGAAGATTAGATTTTTCACTGGAAAAAGCACTGCTTCTTCTAGATCTAAGATGTTAAACATGTTTCTATGTTTTATATCATGACTACTATTCTCAACTTAATATAACTCTTCCAAAGATTAGAAGCCAGCACTGAGTGCTGGTAATTACCAGAATTATTTCAGACGCTGGATAAAAAGCTCTCACTGTTTAAAGAGCACCATGAGAATTTTACACCGAGCCTGGCTTCTAACAATCACATAATTGTTAAACAGTTATACTGTGTCTAATTTTGCCCCTGGATGTATTATTTCCCCATCTACATTTTCCCTTCCTACACTTCCTCAATTATTTTCATGGCTTTATCTATAAGAGTTGTGGTTTTTCCAGAGATGAAGAATATAAAAAATAGTCAAGTAAACAGGCAGTTGGAAAGTGTTTCACCGGAATCCAGTGGGAACGGACTCAGGCTGCCTGCGTCTTCTAGAATGTGACGAAAGCAGTGCTCAGCTGTCCGCTGAGGCGTGAGGAGACTCAACGGCTGCTGCTGAGACCTCTGTTCAGACTGCCGTCTCTGCTTGATGTACTGCCTTGACCACTTTCAGTTGTCCTTGTTGAGGAAAGGAAGCCCAATTTATTGGGAAGGAAACAACTACTTGGAAGGCAAAACTATCCTTGGAAGACTAATTTAGAAGAGCTGTGAAGCACAACCTCATAGTATTAATATTTTTTTGGGGGGGGGATTTAGCTCACTGGTTCTGCTGCCTGCCTGGGAAGCATAAGGTCCTGAGTTCGATCCCCAGTACCCCCCAACATTTTTTTAATAAATGAGAATTAACTATATTTAGTGTTTTAAATTCTTGTAATATTTAAGAGCATTTGGTGTGGGAGAACAGAGGAGAATTAAGGCCTTATTGGCTTCCTCTGCGAGTACAAAGAGAAAGGCTCCACTCGGGTGACTGTATTTCAAGTTCTAGGGAAAAGTTAAGCCAGCTGAGGTTAAGTCGTTCACCTGAGCACATAGTAACGGATGCTGGAAAGCAGATGAATCTTGTGTTACTTTGACTGCTTGTGCCGTACCAGTGCTTGGATGAATAAAGGCAAGACGAGCCAGATGCTACAAAGTAGGGGGTTTAGGTCCCCACAAGTGGCGCCTGGGTGGGGAAAGCTGAGGCTGGCTCCCCACGGGTGGTGCCTGGGGCAGGAGGGCCCTGGACTGGCTGCCAGCTACATGGGTTGGCTACAGCTGGCACCTGAACAGTGAGTGACTTGGGTCTGAGATTGGCTACAACTCGGCATTTTAGAGCACCTATCAGATTAGTCTTGTGAATCTAGATTTAGAGTTAGTGATTAAGTATGAAGATTCAAAGGTTTAAGAGGAGTTTGCTAAGTTTATAAAAGTTATGAATATTTAAATAAATGGAAATGTCATCTATGTGAATTTATATGAACCCAGAGCCTTTGCACAGAGCTGCAGCCCCAGCCCTTTTCAAAATAATTTTAAGGGCCTGGGATTTAGCTCAGTGGTTTCGCCGCCTGCCTTGCAAGCACAAGGCCCTGAGTTTGATCCCTGGTACCAAAAACAAACAAACATACAACATAAAAATAACTGTGAGACAGGTGTCACTGAATTGCTAAGTTGCCCAGACTGACTGGGCTCAAACTTGTGATCCTCCTGCTTTAGCTTCCCAGAGTGCTGGGGTTCCAGGCACATGCCATCACATCTGGTGACATTTAAGCTTTCTTTTCTTTTTCTTTTACCCTCTTCTGGTGCTGGGGACTGGGGACTGAATTCAGAGACTCATGCATTCCAGGCACATAGACTACCACTGAACTACAACCCCAGCCCTGAAAATTAAGAATGTAGAAGCAATGTAAAATTAAATGCATAAAGTAACACAGTTAACCTCTTTTAAATAAGATGTAGCTCCTTCACTAAAAGTGACTGCTATAATTTATTAGATTTCAAAAGAGAACAACCAATAAAGAGATTATAAAGGCTCAAGGAAGGGCTGGGGATTTAGCTCAGCAGCACAGCGCCTGACTTGCAAATACAAGGTCCTGAGTTTGATCCCTGGTACTGGAAAAAAGAAAAAGAAAAAAATAAAAGCTCAGGGGGGGCAGGTTTTAAAATGCAATAAAATATTGTTTTTAAGAAAATGAATGAAAAAATTGCCCTTGCTTATAAGGCTTCCTTCAAAAACAACAAAAATGTGCATCGACATATTGGAAGCCAAAGATCTAGGTTCAAATTCTGACTCTAACTCTCTTAGGCAGATTGTTTTTTCCAGTGCCTTGAGATCCTTAGCTGAACAGGGTGGGACTAGAAAGAACATTTTTTCCATCTCTAATTTTAAGATTGGACAGTTTACCAAAGAGAATATTGGAAAATACCTGCCACTCAGAGCAATCAAGTTAAAACGAGCCATCAAATCTGGGTCAGCCTGGCCCTCCTCAAAGTCCTAATGAGGGTCTTCAGTCCACCAGCACCCCAATTCCCACGCTCACAGGCTGCCCCAGGGCTATGACTTCAAGTCGACAATGAGAAGATTTGCAACACAGCCTAAATGTTACCTCCACGTATTGGCATCGGGATCAAACACTTCGATGGTCTTCAAGTACGTCGTGCCGTCAAAACCTCCTACTGCCATGAGCTGCCCATTGACGACTGCCAGACCGACCTGTGGGACCACGGCACAGACACTGCTGGGGATGCTGGACATTACAGTGCAGGGAATTCTGCACGGGTTTCTAGATAACATTCTTTAATTCTTTATGGTTTTCCACTCAGGTTTACTTGCACACAGAGGAGAAGCAGTAACAATAAAAAATATATGAAAGTATGGGCACCATAAAATTACATAATCAGTTACAATATATACACAGAGTTTGAAACATTAATTTCCTTTTCTTCCTTTTTTGGTATGGGGGATTGAACTCAGGACCTTGTACTTGTAAGGCAGGTGATGGAACCACTAAGCTAAATCCCTGGCCCAAAACATTCATTTCTTAAATTTTAAAAAAAGCATTCACTAGGAGCGAGCAAGAACCTCCAAACTAAGCTCGGCACGGTGGTACACACCTGTGGTGCCAGCTACTCAGGAGGCTGAGGCAGGAAAATCACTTGAGCCCAAAGTTTAAGAGCAGCCCAACCAAAATAACAGACAAATGAACAGATAAACAAAAACAATAAAGAAACTCTAAACCGCTCTGTCCTCTGGTATTCACCTAATCTACTCTTTTAGAAATACAAATCTTAACCATTATCATCACTCTTGGATTGATACTTTTGTACATGTTGTTCCCTGGGGGGTTGTCTTTAAAAAAATTAACTGGTACACTTTTTTTGGGGGGGGTACTGAGAATTGAACTCAGGACCTCTCACTTGCCAGGCAGGCACTGTGCCACTGAGCTACATCCCTGGCCCAGTTGGTACATGTTTGATATACATAACGATCACATGCATCATAGGGAATTTGTACCTGTACATAATATATCTTGATTCTTTGTTCCTCATCCCCTCCTCTCCCTTCAACTCTTCTTCCCCTTCCCTTTTACAAAAAGCTTTGTTTCCATTTTTCCTCCATTTTCTTTTTGTTTCCTTTTCCATTCCTTTCTCCCCTTCCCTTGTTCCGCTTTCCATTGGAACATTTTCTTCCTACTTTCCAGTATCTATGATCCATTTTGATCCTTATTTACCCTTTTGGTTTCTCATAGAAGAGAAACAATGTGATATTTAAACTTGTTTGTCCAATTTATTTCACTTAAAATTATGTTCTCCAGGTTCATCTGTTTGCCTAAAAATGTCTCAAGTTTATCCTTCTTTATGACAGTGTAGTACTCCACTGTTTATAAAAACCACAGTCTCAATTTATCCATTCATCCACTAAAGGCCATCTGGACTGTTTCCAAGACTGAGCTGTTACAAACTGTGCTGGTACAATCATGGGTGTGCATATATCACTATGGTATGATGCTTTTAATTCTTTCAGGAAGATACCAAGAAAGGGAATAGCTGGTCAAATGGAACTGCTAATTTTAGTTTTTTGAAGAATCTTCACACTGATTTCCACAGTGGTTGTACCAGTTTACACTCCCACCAACAGTGGAGAAGGGTTCCTTTTCCCCACAGCCCTGCCAGTATTTGTTATTGCTTGATTGACTAGTGTTTTTCATCTCTCTTCTAGAAAAGCTTATTTTCCCTTCACAACCCAGCTTCTAGGTGACTCTGCTTGGCTGTTCATTGCTTCCAGCCTTCTTACTGCCCCACAGCACTAAGGACATCCTCCCATGTTCCCCTTCCGTGCATACACCACTCTTACAGGACTTAGGGTAGCTTACGCATTTCAATTTCCTTCACTAAAGTGGGAGCTCCAGAGAGGAACCCTGCGTGTCTTACTCAGTTTGAGTTCTTTGCACAGCAAGCACTTAATAAATACTTGCTGAGCGAAAATATAATCAACAGGATGTGGCAGTGAAAATAACTGGGTTGTGACCATGAAGCTGTTAACTGCCAGTAATAAAAAGCCATAGATATGTGAATGCTTTGGCTGCTGATGCCTTCCAGCAGTGTGTCTTGATTTATGCAAACCAGAACTCACTCCCTTTTCTCCTCAAGTCTCGGAGACTTTGGTGGCTGCTTGCTGCTGCTTCCTGTTGGGGACGGATGCCTGATGTGATCAGTGGTTCATGGCATCCATTTCACTGAGCCAAATGTTCACAATGGGTGAATTCTGTCCTCCACCCTGGAATCCCTTTAGTCATAGGTTGTTCACAGTACAGACGGGTGAGTGGCCCTGAACAGCAAGGAGTGAGGTCCCACAAGATCATAAACTTTTGTTTCTTTTTCTTTTTTGTGTTTACCAGGGATTGAACTCAGGACCTCGTGCCTGCCAGGCAGGCGGCAGCACCACTGAGCTAAATCTCTGGCCCTAAGATCATACACTTTTAACATTACCATGTGAGTGTCAGCTGTATTTTCCATGACTCATTTGCGTGGTGCTCAAGCATGGACTGTGTAGGTGACCAGCATGCGGGGCAGGGCGGGGTGCAGTACAGTGCTGACTCTGCCTCCCGTACCTGCCATGCAGTCAAATCCAAACCAAGAGCTTGTGTGACTCGGCAAGTAAAACCAGTAACTACTGATAACAGTATTGTTACTTGCTGTGTTATTTTGTAAAATAATTTAATAAGGTACTCATAAAATAAGGAAAGTTCGTTACTTTATATTGGTCATATTTCATATTTGTATGCAACCTAAGATAATTCCTCTTAACTCAGTGTGGCCTAGGTAAGTCGAAAAGTGACTCTCACGGGAACACGATGGGAATCAGGCCCATCTGGTGTGCAGTGCACATGGGACAGACTCCCCGGCCTCCCGAGACCGGCAGAGGCACAGCCCTGCCCACATGTTTATATCAGCACACAGACCACTTGGAATATCACACTTTGCTCTAACAGACACAGAGTTAGACACGCAGTGAATAATAGTGGGAGATGCCCTCCAGAGAAGCAAGTGAAATGAGATAAAGTATAAGAAAGGAATTATCTAATTAAAGATATAAATGGATTTAAGATATTTAATGGATGCAGTTAAAAGCAATTAAAAACAAGTTTTTTCTTTTTCTTTCTTCTAATTTTTTTTTGTGGGGGGGTACTAGGGCTAGAACCCAGGGCCTTCACACTGAACTACATCTCTAAGACTCATTTTTATTTTGAGACAGGGTCTTGCTAAGTTGCTAAATGGCCCAGGCTAGCCTTGAACTTGTGATGTTCCCACCTTAGCCTCTCACAGTGCTGGGGTTAGAGGTTTGTGCCACCACGTTCTGCTTCAGTTGTTTTTTTTTTTTCTTTTATAAAATTAGCAGGAGGAGGTGGGTGTGGTGGCGCATGCCTGTAATGCTAGCACTTCAGAGGCTGAGGCAGGAGGATCACTGTGAGTTTGAGGCCAGTCTGGGGTGCACAGTTTAAGGCCAACCTGAACAACACAGTGTTCGAAAAACAAACAAAACAACTCGTAGGAGCCAGGCGTGGTGGCAAACATCTGCACTAGCACTTGAGAGGCTGAAGCAGTAGGATGCTGTGAGTTTGAGGCCAGCCTATACCACATAGTGAGTTCAAGGGAGCCTGAACTACACAGTGAGACCCTGTCTGAAAAAACCAAAAACAAAACCCCCCAAACCCAAAATGGAACTAGCAGGAAGCTTTTGCCTAAAAGCATCCCGACAGCATCAAATGAAATAGTTGAAAACGAAAAAGAAATCAGGTAGGCACTAGTAGTTCACCTCCCCACTGTCTCAGTGAGTTATCTTTTCAGACGGGAGCGTCTTAGTGCTAGTTTTTCAAGGGTCAAAGCTCTCAGTAGCAGGACACTTACTCCGCTGCGCCGGGAGGTCATGGCCACCACCGGAGACCACTGGTTAGTCCTGGGGTTGTACCTCTCAGCGCTGCTGAGCTCTGTGGTGTCGTCTCTCCCGCCCACCGCGTAGATCATGTCCTGATACACCGCGCAGCCCAGATGTTTCCGCCGGGTCCCCATGGGGGCTATGGTGTGCCATCTGTTTTCCTGGGGATTGTAGCGTTCCACTGCAGGGAAGAGAAAGCCCAGTGAGAGGCCATCTGAACGCTGCCTCTCACCTCTAGTTTTCTTTATAGTCCCTGTGCTAGCACATATTTTCAATAAGCAGTCTGATTTGGGCTTCTGAGGAGGACTTGCAGGCCCCTGGAAAACTGTCACGTATCCTCTCACCAGGGCTGGTTTCTTTCGGGTACTTCATGCTGTGGAGGAAAGGGCATGTGCTGGAGTCAAGGAGCTTGAGCTCCAGTTTTGCTGTAGCACTAATTAGCTGCAAAACCCTCACTCTTCTTTAGTCGGGGAATTAGACTACTATATAATTTTCAAAGGTATTTCTTGGGCTGCGGATTTAGCCCAGTGGTTCTGCTGCCTGCCTCACAAGCACAAGGACCTGAGTTCAATCCCCAGTACCAAAATAAATAAAAAAATAAAAAGCATTTCTTACCACTAACGATTTATAGCCAGACAATTCTGTCCTCTCCACATCTGCCTAGTGCAATTTCATGAAGAGGAGACAAGATATAGGACAATTACTCTGATGGGGATGCCATACTGACATTACCCTTGGGCAAAAATACCCACATCTCTGAATAAAAGCGTTAATGAACCAGTTTCTAGTTCTAAGGTTTCATTTATTTTTAATTATAATCATTTTTCTTTTTGAGGTGAAGTGGTGGCTGTGGGGAAGAGGAAATAGTTATTATATTCAGAAAGTACTCCTTTTATTCACTGCACATTTCCAGCTGTTGGTAAGCAGAGGAAGAAAGAATCATTTGGGGAAAGTATTATTTTCATGGATACAGGAACTGGAAGCTGTATTCTCCTAGAGGGAAAATAAAATGTTATTTTAATAAAACATAGGATAATGTGGACTTTTTAATGCTTTTTCTAGGCAGAGTCCACTCAGGAAAATGTGCTCCTTCGGGGAGGTAGACTGCCTTTGAGGGGAACAAACCTGTGTTGAGTGGAGAGGTCCCATCAGAGCCACCTACAGCATATAAGAACCCTCCCAACACAGCCACTGCCACGCCTAGTCTTCTGGTGCTCATAGAAGCCACCCGCGTCCACTTGTTCTCCTTTGGATCGTACCTGCAGCGAGAGAAACCAGGATGAATGATGTTCTCACGAAATGAAGTCATCTCTACCTGTCTGAAATCACAGTAAAGATACACTGGTGACAGATTTGCCATAGTTAAAAAATGTGTGGCAGGTGCGCGCGCGCGCGCGCGC